CCCAACAAAACAATTTAATAAAGCAAACAAACAAAACAATACCAAAAAACAAAGCGCAGAGAAGACAGGCCCGCTACGTTAAGCTCAATGATATAGACAGGAGTGGACGAGGTGGGGTGGGGGAGAGAAGATGGATTTATAACACGACAGACAAAGATAGCAACAGGCCAGGAATCAACTACAGACATTACACACGTGCGAACTAAAGTAAATGACGATAAGTTTGAGTTTGAGCGAAAAGAATCACATCGACACAAATACAGTCATTTACAGCTAGGGGGAAAACCACATAGGGAAACAACAGAGGAAAGGAAGTAAGATTCACCAGTGGCGCACTATAACCAACCAGCAGCAAATAGTGCCTAAAGAAAGAGAATATATAACTCGACAAAACAGGCAGGCAGCTAACAGGAACGACTGACTGAGAAAATACTGTCGAAGCTGCTCTAACGGCAACCTGCCCAAGACAATCACCTAAAAACGACCACTTCCCACTTGCGTATTTTATATCATAATGGCACTGTCCAAGACGTCCACTTGTCTAAGACAACCACTTTTCTCCTAGTAATGAATGGCCATTTTGGACAATTTCAACAGTACACACATCTCTCTGTACACTCAAATGGACAAAGCCAGAGTCATTCATATTCAGTACACATAAGAAACAAGATCTAGCAAGAAGAAAAAAGGAGGCCAGTAACGCCGCCATGACTGCCCATGACGCCTTATTCGACAAAATCGCCCGCCACTTTCAATGTCCAACACGGGGCAAGGGAGAGAATCAATCACTCGGGCGCCGAGGAGAAATACAGGGGCGACACGAGTTATCGTCCGTGTATTTCGCGCGAGCGCTGAGCACACAGCACAGTTTTATTTATAGCTCTATTCGGGCGGGTCACGATGACCAGCGGAGAGGGACGTTGATAATGTGGGGCAGTCGACGGGGCTGACCTGCCAGCCGGCAAGGTCATTGGGTTTATCCAGGTCTCAAAGCGCGCGCGCACCATCATTATTATAATGCGTCTCGGGTGGCCTAGAAATACG